AGTTAGCGTAACATAGCACGGTTGACAGTGCATCCTTGCACTATTAGAATCACGCTAGGATCTGTAGGTCTCTGAGCGGTGCAGCAGTCGAAGAAGTCGTGACTGGTGGGGAAAAATATCCGGGTTCAGGTCTGGCGAGATAACATTCAACATGAAATCGTGCACAGTACTCTTGCATACGTTCAAATACTTTACGATTTTCCTGGTGCTCACCCCCTTATGCAAAACCGTGGGTCCAGGAAGACTGCGAGAAGATCCCTGTAAATTTTTGCACTAACCTCGTAGATAACATGCCTAGGGGGGTGTAGGTGGTGATCAAGGCCAAGTGTCGGTTGACTAGGTACTAGTTCAGCTAGTAACTAGTTTGATGCCTGTCCTCGGTACAAATTGTCCGGATGTGCTGTTATTCAATGTTGTCGTCTTGAAGGACCATAAAACATACTACTCTGGTTTTAGGAGATTTGAGTGAGTGCTCTAACTGCTCCTCTCTACGTGTATGGCCACCATGAACTAAGGCTTAATTTTTATAGCGTACAGCTCGTCAAAATGTGAAAATATGCTAAACATGTGAACAAATGTTTCCGCCACTGTATATGTTCTAGGTTTCTCACACTAGTAATCCATTCATGCATTCTAACATGGTATCACGAGTAGGTCCCGCCCGCTTCCGCCCGCACCCCAGCCTCTCCCCCCCCTACCTAGCCCTCGCGCCCGCCTGGCTCGTAGCGCCCGCCCGGCCCTCTGCGGGTCCTGTCGTCGCTCGCAGCTCCACTTCCCTTCCCTGTCCAGCCCTTCCCTTGGGCTCTCTTACAGGCCTCCACGTTCCCTCGTTCTCCAGGAACCTGGTTGGTGTCGGCTGTCTTCAGGACCTCGGCGTCACCACTACGTTCCCTGGGCACGAGCAGTTCGCTGTCTGTACCGAGGCTGTCTCAGGTTCCCCCGGCACCCGGTGTCCGGTCTGTTTACCCTCGACACCGCTTCCCCCCCGGTTGGTGCGTCTTCCCAGGTCGCTGCAGCTTGCTCGTGTCGGTCCCTCACTCACCCGTCCCTTTTGTGGCACCACCGCTTAGGTCACCCTGCTCACCCTCGTCTGCGTCACATGTCCCAGCACGGTCTTGTCTTAGGCCTCCCCGTGTCGCTTCCCGCCCTCCCCCCCTCGACTGCGCCACCGTGCACGCCTTGCGTCGAGGGCCGGCTCCGCCGTGCCCCTCACTCCTCCTCGCTTCGCCCTGCTACTGCTCCCCTTCAGACCCTGCACCTGGACGTTTGGGGCCCAGCCCCCGTCCCCGGATCGCGCAGTGAGCGCTACTTTCTTGTACTCGTTGACGACTACACGCGCTACACCACGGTGTTTCCCCTGGAGCGGAAGTCCGACATGCCCGACGTTCTTCTCACGTGGGTTGTGGCTGCGCGTCTTTACCGCGGTCTTCCCGTGTTGTGTCTCCACTCTGACCATGGTGGCGAGTTCGCCTCTGGTCGGCTTGGCCAGTTCTGTCGTGCGGAGGGCATCACCCAGTCGTACACCTTGCCAGACTCGCCACAGCAGAATAGGGTTGCTGAGCGCCGCATCGGCTTAGTCATGGAGGTTGCTCATACCTCCATGATCCATGCCGATGCCCCCCATTTTCTGTGGCCGGCCGCGGGTTTCGCCGACCCTCCTTTGGACCGGGTCCCCCGGTGACGTGTCTGCGTTCCACGTCTGGGGTTGCCTTGCTCACGTTCGTGCCTCTGGCACGGACAAGCTCACCACCCGCACTGTCCCCTGTATCTTTCTCGGTTTCCCCCTGGACTCGTCTGACTGGCTCTCCTACCACCCGCCGTCTCACCGCTTCCTTCACTTTCGTGAGGTCACCATTGACAAGTCTGTCTCCTTCTACCGTCGCTTCCCTTACCGAGGTCTCCCGGTTCCCCCCCCACCTGTTCCTTGCTCCCTCTCCCCCGGTAGCCTCTGCTCCCCTCCCGCCTCGTCCTGCTCCGTCTGGTGTCTCGCATGTCACTTCCCTCCCGTCGGTTGTCCCCGTTGAGGAGTCTGCTGACTCTGGTGGTCCCCCCGGCCTGTCCTTGCCGCGTCTCCCTTCCCCGGTGTCTCCGCCTCCGCTGTCGCACTCGCCGCCGCCGCCGTCGCAGCCGCCGCCAACGTCGCACCTGCCGCTCTTGGCCTCTGGGGGTCCTGGCGTTGAGGAGAGTGTTCGTCCTGCGGCTCCTGGCGTGGTCTGTCCCGGCGGGCCCGGGGGTTCTGCTGGTGCTGGCGGGGGTTCTCGCTCTTGGGGTGTTGGTTCTGGGAGTGCTGCTCTTGAGTGTTCTCCCAGCGGTCGTCGTGCGCCTGCCGGTCAGCGCGTCGAGACGCAGCTGTCGCCGCCGGTCTCCGCTCTTCGGCTGCTCGGCCTTCCCTCCCTTGACCGCTCGCCGGTGTCTCCTACACCACCTTCTCACCTTCCTGTCTACGGCCCTGTGTTACCGCCCCCGGACTCTTCTCCAGCCCGTCTTCCTCCTTGTTCCCCTTTTGTGTCCCCTCCGCTGTCTTCTGACCCTACACCTCCGTCCCACATTTGGTCTCTCCATCCCTCACGCGCTCGTCCCGTCTCCCCTGTCCTGCGCTCCACCCCTATGTAGCTCCGTTCTCACTCGTCTCGTCCTCCCCTCGCCTCCTCCCTCGTCGCTTGTTGTTGCACCTCCCCCGCTGTCTGACTACCTCCGTGCCGCTCGTCCCCTTGTCCCACGGGTCCTTGCCTCTCTTGTTACAGACCGGTCTGTTCCTGTCTCGCGCCTTGACGCGCTTGTCGCTGCTGTCGCTGACTTCGCCTCTACCCGCCGCCTTGACTACGCTACCGCTCTAGTCTCTGACCCTGCCCGTCCTCTGTCCGTCGGGGGTGCACCTGCCCTTGGCAGTGACGTTCTAGAGGACAGGCAGTACGAGCTTGCTTTCCTTTCCAAGGCCGCTCCCCATCTCTACTCCATGCTCCTAGTCCAAGAGGGTGACCCAGACGCCTTCGACATCCCGACCCCTCGCACCTACGCTGAGGCCACCTCGGGACCTTGGGCCTCTCAGTGGATAGCTGCCATGGAGCAGGAGATGGCATCTTGGAGGTCCACCGGCACTTCCGTCGCCGCAGTTCCCCCTCCTGGGGTGAACGTAGTCGATGGTCGGTGGCTCTTCAAGGTGAAGCGCCCTCCTGGAGAGTCGCTGTGTTCAAGGCGCGCTACGTGGCTAGAGGCTTCAGCCAGCGCGAGGGGGTGGACTTCTTCCAGACCTTCGCCCCGACCCCGAAGATGACTACTCTTCGGGCACTGCTACACATAGCAGCACAGCGCGACTACGAGCTTCACTCCCTCGACTTCTCTACTGCCTTTCTTCAGGGCAGCCTACACGAGCAGGTCTACCTGCGCCGACCACAAGGCTTCACTGGTACGTTCCCCCCTGGGACATAGTGGCTTCTCAGGTGCCCGGTTTACGGCCTGCGCCAGGCTCCCCGCGAGTGGCATGACACGTTGCGTGCCACGCTAGCAGACTTGCAGTTCTTTCCGTCCTCTGCTGACCCGTCACTTTTCGTGCGTTCCGGCCAGACTCCGTTCTACATCCTTGTCTACGTAGACGACCTGGTATTCGCTACTGCTAACAGGGACGCACTGGCCTCCGTGAAGGCACAGCTGCTGAAGAGACACACCTGCACTGACCTTGGAGTGCTGTGTCGCTATCTTGGCCTGCAGATCTCCAGGGACAGAGCAGCACGCACCATCACTCTGACACAGTCACACTTGGTGCGCCAGGTCCTTCAGAGGTTCGGCCTTCAGTTCTCCCCCGTACAGCCCACACCTCTACATGTAGACCATGGGCTCTCCGCTCCCGTTTCTGAGGAGCCAGTAGAGCCCAGTGGTCCTTACGCAGAGCTGATGGGTTGCCTCATGTACGTGATGATTTGCACTCGCCCAGATCTCGCATACCCTCTCAGCATCCTGGCCCGCTTTGTGGCCACAAGTAGACACCGACCACAGCATTGGTTGGCTGCAAAGGGGGTTTTGCGTTATCTTGCAAGTACATCGGGCATGGGGCTAGTGCTGGGAGGACGCAGGCCAGTGGTCCTTACTGGGCACACAGACGCTTCTTGGGCAGACGACGCTGAGACACTCCGGTCCTCCCAGGACTACTGCTTTAGCCTTGGTTTTGGTGCCATGTCGTGGAGGTCCACTCGCTCCTCGTCTGTTGCTCAGTCTAGCTGCGAGGCTTAGATCTACGCCGGTGCCTTGGCGGCACAGTAGCTCTGATGGCTGACCTTCTTGCTTGCCGACTTAGGTGAGCGGCCTAGCTCTGCCCCAGTTCTGTACGCTGACAACAGGGCCATGATCCTCCTGTGTCAGGAGCCTCGACTTGAGGGCAGAGCGAAGCACATCCAGCAGCGGTACTTCCTCCTGCGCGAGGTTCAGCAGCGTCGCCAGGCCCGCGTAGTACCCTTGGCCTCCGGTGCCAACACAGCTGATATCTTTACTAAGGCGCTTCCGCCTAGAGATCATCAGCGGCACTGCTTGCAGTCAGCTCTAGTCCCAGTTGACTCTCACTTGCTGGGCCCTTGATTGTGTAATCCTTTTTATTTATGCCTTGCAGACTGACCTTGTGGCTTTTCCTCCAGTGGTTGGACTAGTAGTGATGCCCTAATTTGCTCTGTCTTGCTTGTACTCTTGCTGACTGGTTTGAGGACCCCTGCCTCAGTGGTTGGACTAGTAGTGCCACCCTGAGCTGTGTGCTTCTTGCTTAGCACCACCACTTCTCTAGCCTAGGGGGTGTGTCAACTTATACATATGCTGTATGTAGAAATTATAGGCTAGCCTAGGTGTGTGGTTCTAATGAGTACAACCCCAACAGGTATATGTTCTAGGTTTCTCACACTAGTAATCCATTCTTGCATTCTAACGCCACTCCATCTTTTATAGCGCGAAAACACCCTAAAGATGCCCTTTACATCAGCAGAGTAGGTGGCAGGAGATGCACCAGAACGCAAGGGTACCACGTGTAGTCACAGTCCGTGACACCGAGATATGCAGTGCAGAGGCTAATACACGTACGGTACCGTATATTCAACCATATGAGTCCTTAGTCATAAAATCACCAGTCCTAACCACTGGGACAAGAAGGGATATCATTAGGAGGGTTAAGCTCTATATATCCACCGTCCCCCAGCACCCTCCCTAGAGAGAGAGAGAGAGAGGATCGACAGGGTTATCCCAGTGCCACGACATCCTTCCCAAGTGCAACCTACTGCATAAGGATCCACCAGCTCGGAGCACACGCACTGAAAAGGGCTCTTAGACAGTGCAAGATGCCTCGAAGCTTGCTTGTATGGCACTTGCCAGAGGTTGGGATTAGTTGCTTGGGATGAGTGGCTTGGGAAGCAAAGCAGGAGAGCAGGCGAGGGCAGGAGGAACGGGGGAACCAGGGAGCGAGCAAGGAGGCCAAGAGAGACTTGAGAAAGTGAGTGAGTGTGAGTGTGTGTGTGATGAGAGGCAGAAAGAGAAGCGAGAGAGTGAGAGAGAGAGAGAAAGAAAGGGGGTTTGCTGGCAGGAGATAAGGCACGAGCAAGAAGAGGCATGTCCTGCTCCCATGTGCTGGCACGAGAGTCATGGGGGGCTGAGCTGCTCCGAGAAGGCTGCTCCCATGTGCGGGCTGGTGAGCTCCGTGTCCTCAAACATGGACCCGTCCTGGCAGGGCAGCACGCACCGCACAGCACAGCAGAGCACAGCAGCAGCAAGGAGATACAGAGGGAATGTGAGGACAGGGAAGAGAGTTAGGAAAGCATGTGTATTGTGAACAGCGAGAAAGGAAGGAGACGGGTGTGGCCACGACCCAAAGAGCATTGGAGAAACAAGCACGGCGACTTGGAGAAAGACAAATAGAAGCAAATCCAGCTGGCAGGAACGAAAGAGGATGCGGGAATAGATGCGTATGCAGAATCTGGGAGGGCAGCTAGCGCGCACCTGGGGCCATATGAGGTGCATGAGGTCGTCTGTATTCCCACTCGCTGCCCGGCCCCCTTCCAGATTCCGCACATCCCCTGCTCCCATCCCCATCCCCATCTCCTCCATCCCTCCCCCTCTTAACCCAGCCAGCCCCACACTCTCGGCACCTAAACCTTGCCCTCCCAGCAGCCTTTCCTGCTGCTGTTGCTCCATACTGCCTCGTAGCCCCAAGTCGTCCACTTGTCCGACTTCCTGCATCCCCTCGCCTCCTCTGTCTCCCCCTCCACACATCAGGTCCATATCCCAGCCACCAGTCAACCACGCATCTGCTACTGCCATGCCTATACCACCCATCGCTTCCCCTTCGCCCTCCCCACACCCTACTGCTGCTGACAGGGCTGCGGCTGTCGCTCCTTGTCTCCCTTCTTCTGCTGCTCCTGCAGCTCCTGAACCCCCACCACAAGCAATAGCCGCAGCACTGGCAGCAGCAGCAGCAGCAGCTGTTCCGCCAGTAACGCTGCCAGTGATAGAAGCAAACGCCGCTCCTCCCCTCTCCACCAGCACACCACTCTGCTGCTGTCCGCCCACACCTACCTCGCCCCCTCCCTCCTCCTCAACTTTAACCTTCAAACTCTCAGCCCCACCCTCGCCTCCACCCTCTCCTCCCGCCCCTCCTCCTCCTCCTCCCTCGCCCCGTTTGTCTCCTCTCCCCACCCCCCCTCCACTCCCCATGCCTCTACCACTCCCTCCCGCCCCCTGGCTGGGGCCCTGCATGGAGCTCTGCTCGGACACAGCCGGCTCCCTGCACATCCCGCCTGCGCCGCCCATGCCCTCTGTGGCCTCGCCATACGACTGCATGCCGCCCGACACACTCTCCTGCTCCGCCTCCATCCACTGCACCCCCTCCTCCCTCCTCTCATACGAGAACCTCCGCTTCACCTGCTGCTGCTGCTGCTGCTGCTGCTGCTGCTGCTGCTGCTGCTGCTGCTGCTGCTGCTGCTGCTGCTGCTGCTGCTGCTGCTGCTGCTGCTGCTGGTGGTGGAAAGGAGCCTGCAGCTGCTGCTGCTGTGGGAACGAGTGCTGCAGCGAGTGGGATGCAGAGGGGGCGCCGCCAGAGTTGGCGGCAGCAGTGGCCATGCGGGCGCGGCACAGAACCATGAACTGCTCGTCCGTGAGGGAGTGCGCCAACCGCTCTAGATCCCCTTCCATCTCCTCCACCTTCACTGTGCTCCTTGCCCCACCCACTGCACTGCTCCCCCCGGCACGATTCACACCACCACCGTCGCCGCTGCTGCTGCCACCACCACCGCCACCAACGCCAGCACCAGCAGCAACACCAGGGCTGCCCATCGCTCCATGGTTCTGCCCCAGCCGGGCTTTGTCCTGCTGCTGCTGCTGCTGCTGCTGCATTTCACGCTGCTGCTGCATTTCCCGCTGCTGCTGCAGCCGCTGTTGCTGCTGCTGCTGCTGCAGTTTCTGCAACTGCTGCCGTTGCCGCTGCTGCTGCTCCTGGTGGGCCCGAAGCTGAGCTTGCAGCTGCTCCTTCTGCCTCCTCATCTCCACCTCCTGCTGCTGCTGCTGCTGCTGCTGCACTGCTGCTGGCTTCTCCCGCCCCTGCTGCTGCTGCTTCAGGAACTGTAATAGCAAGTCATTATTGCTATCGGGGGTGCTGGTAGAAGAGCCCCCACCTCCCCCACCACTGCTACCACCACCAATAGCCGCACCACCACCGCCGCCACCACCGCCGCCACCACCGCCGCCACCACCGCCACCATTGTTGCCACCACCGCCACCAAAACTGCCAGCACCAGCACCAACATTAGCAGGAGCTGCTGCTGTTACAGCGCTCGCACTGGAAGGGCGGGGAGAGGAGTGAAACTCTCCAGCGGAGCCTTCCCCTACTGCCAAACCTGCACCTGCTCTATCTGCTAGCCCTGCTCCTGCTGCTCCCAACCTTCCTGATGCTCTCAACTGCTGCTGCTGCAAGTAGAGGATCTTCTGCTGCTGCTGCTGCTGCTTTTGCAGCTGCTGCAGCACCGGCGGCAGATTCTCTGGGTCGAATCCCGGTTGAGAGAGGATACCAGCAATGCTGATACTACCATCTGGCAGAAACACACTCGACACACCACCACTTGCCACTCCCGACTCGACAGCCGCACCCCCTGCACCAGCTCTCATACCGACACCACCACCGCCAGCACCAGCCCCAGCACCAGCAGCCCCGGCAGGAACACCGGCCAGGCCTCCTCCTGTTACCCCCCCTGCAGCAGCAAGCAGCTGGCGAAGGCCAAGGGCGGCAGCAGCAGGGTCCATGCCTTGCAGCTTCGCCTGAGACAGAAGCTCCGCTGCCGCCACAGAGTGGTGCGACAGACCAGGCCCTCCCCGGGTACCACCTGCACCACTTGCTGCTGCTGCCGCTGCTGCTGCTGATTCTGCCGCTGCTGCGGCAGCAGCGTGGTTAGACTGAAGCATTTGAAACCGTGCTTGTAACTGCAGCTGCTGTTGCTGTTGCTGCTGTTGCTGCAGCAGCTGCGGTAACTGGGTTGGCTCCTGCTCTTGCTCCTGCTGCTGCTGTAGCTGCTGCTGCTGAAGCAGCCGCAGCAGGTGCTGCTTCTGTAACAGCTGCTGCTGCTGCTGCTGCTGCTGTCCTTCTTGCCGAGCCAAAGCAGGCTTGTCGGGGTTTAAGTGAGGAAGAAAGGATGACTGCACTTGCCCTGCTTGCTGCTGCTGCTGTTGGGGCAGGTACATAGAGGTTTGCACATTGACAGAAGAAGGGGAAAATGTCAGCAGGGGCAGAAAAGGAGAATAATAGCAACGGCAAGTGGCATGCAGTGGGTAACACGCAGTGAGCAACACCCACCGAGTAACACCCAGTGAGTAACTCGAACATTGTTTGCTCAGCACGCTTGCCTGCAGCTGTAGGAAGCGCAGGAGCGTGGTGGGCTCCACGCCAGCAGCCGCGGCCACGGATGTGAGGTGCTGCCATGGGGAGCGCAGGAGAGAAAGAGTGAGAGGGGAACAAACGGTTCAGTCAACCCAACAGATCAGTCAACCCAACAGATCAGTCAACCCAACAGATCAGTCAACCCAACAGATCAGTCAACCCAACAGATCAGTCAACCCAACAGATCAGTCAACCAAACAGATCAGTCAACCCAACAGATCAGTCAACCAAACAGATCAGTCAACCCAACCAGTCGACACACTATCGTCCCCTAAACCAAACCTGCAGTTGCTGCTGCAGCCGGCTTCCCTGCCCACCTGCCCCTGCCCCTCCTCCTGCTCCCCCGGGTAGCAGCGAATCCAAGGCCGTCAATACTCCCACCCCACCGCCCCTCCCCATCCCTGCCGCTCCCATCCCCGTGCCCACCCCACCACCACCTCCTCCCCGCCCTCTCCCTCCTCCTCCAGCTGCTGCCCCTGCTCCAGCGGCAATCGCTCTGCTGCCATCTGGCAATCCTCCTCTGCCCACGCCCGCCTCTGCTCCTAGTCCCGCTCCACTCTCCACAGCCGCACCTGCCCCTCCCCGTGCCATTCGCTGCAGGTGCAGCAGCATCCTCAGCTGGCCTAAGTCACCCACTCCTTCCCCAAACCCAGCACCACCGGCACCCACATCACCACCACCACCACCACCAGCAGAAGCTGCTGCTGCAGCATGGTCTAGCCCTCCCAACCCAGCCCTGTCCCTTGACAAACCAATGCCTTGGCCTGCTAAAACGGCTGCTGCACCCATTTCGCTGCCACCCCCACCACCTCCCTTTCCCCCTCCTCCCGCCCCTCCTCCGCTACCTCCTGCTACACCGATCCCCTCAGGTTTCATGCCAAGGAGGTCACTTCCGAACCTTATTCCAGACGTGCCTCCGGACCAAGATCCCGTGCCGAGCCTCCCTCCAATGCCAAGTTCCTGGGCTGCTCGAGCCCGAACCAGTCCTCCCAGTCCTCCCATCCCTGCTGCCACTGCTGCTGACGCTGCTGTGGGTCCTGCTGCTGCGGTTGGTGCACCCGTGAGAGCAGCAGCTGCTGCTTCCACGGACCCGTGTTTCTGAATCAAGGATAGGAGCATGGAGTTATCAATGCCGCTTAGAATGGCACTGCTGCCACGACCAGCAGCAGCAGCAGCGTCATCACCAGCAGCAATGGCAGCCACCTTTCCTGCCCTAGGCAACGACGCTGCCATCTCTTCTAAGCCCTCTCCAATTCGTCCCTTCGCATCATCCGGCTCCCTCCCTGCACAACCAGCACCGCCACTCATGCCGCCGCCACCATTCCCTCGTTGTCTATTTTCTCCTCCGCCACCTGCGCTTGCTACTGCGCCGCATCCAACAGCAGCAGTGGCGCTGCCTCTGTTACAGGTTGCCACGCCAGTACCCAGCCAGCTCCCATCAAGGGTTTGCCTCTCCCCCATCCCTCCCCGCCCTGCCCCCTCTGCAGCCACCACACTACCACCCACAGACCCTCCCGCCCCTCCCCTTTCTCCTCCCCCTCCACCCGCACTGCCCGGAGTCCCCCCACTGCCACTGCCAACAGCAGGCGCAGCAGGCGCAGTGGGAGCAGCGGGAGCAGGGGGGGCGGAGGAGACGGGTGCAGGGGCGGAGGAGAGCGCGGCAGGCGAGGGAGTGGCGGATATGCCAGACTCGGTCATGCCGCTCAGCCGCTTCAGATACAGGCGGTACTTCTGGAGGGCACAGAGGCGCGCACGGGTGGGAGGGCGAGGCGGGGAGGGAGGAAGGGGGTTTGGTTGGGAGAGGGGGGGGGGGCGGGGAGGGAGGAGACGTTGGGGGGAGAGGTGGGGGAAGAGGTGGGGGGGAGATGGGGGGGAGGTGGGGGGGAGACGGGGAAGAGGGGATGGGAAGAGAGGGAGATGGGCTGGTGAAGAAAGGGAGAGTGACGGGAGGGAAGCAGGCATTGAGAAAGGAACAGGACGGAGCATTGAGTATGCCTGCCTGACTCTACCATGTCCCGAAGACGGTGCAACAGATACCGGACTTGTGGTGTGGCGAAGGTCAGAGACAGGACCAAGGACTGAACAGCTGGCAGCTGGCAGACAGGCATGCACGCAAGCACAGTGCCATAGCACGATGCATGCAGCATGTGAGCGCATGCAGCATGTGAGAGCAAGCAGCATGTGAGGGCATGCAGTATGTGAGAGAGAGCTCCTGGGAGCAGCAGCAGCGAGCACCTGCAGGTGGCTGGCGACGTTCTCCCGTGTGAGCCCCGGCACACCCATCATCTCCAAAATCTTCTTCGGCACCGCCTCTGCTGCCCCGCCCCCCCACACACACACGTGGGACGGGCGGATCGGGGAGGGGGCAGGAGGGCGGGGGGAGGAGGAGGGAAGGGGTTGGGAGGGGGTTGAGTGGGGGGACAGCAGAAGGGGGGATGCGTTTTGGGGATGTAGAGGAAATTGAGTTCCAAAGTTGTGCACAGCACGGCACAGACCGGCACAGTAGGGCAGGGCAGGGCAGGGCACTGACTGTCGACGCCGAGGTGGTGCACGGCCTTGACGAACTGCTGGTGCAGCTCCACGCTCCAGATGATGCGCGCCTTCTTCCCCCCGCCCGCCCCCTCGCCCTCGCCCTCGCCCTCGCCCTCGCCCTCGCCCTCCTCCACCACATACGTTACCCGGCTCACAAACCCCACACCCGCACCCAGCACCCCACCGCCACCCCCGCCACCCGCAAACCCAGCTGCAGCTGCTACAGCAGATGCACCAGCAGCAGCAGTGGCAGTGGTGCCAACGCCAAAGCCTTCCCCTGCTGCTCTTCCCTCGCCCCCTTTGACTCCTTCCCCCCCTCCACCCCCCCCTTCCTCTCCAAAGGCGGCCTCCACGCTTCTCTTCCCCAGCCTCGCCCCCTCGCTCCTAGAAGGGGACCGAGGGACCGCCGCTCCCTGCCCTGCTCCTTCCCCCCTAGCCCCTCCCCCTGCCCTTCCCCCCCCCCCTATATCCGCGTCTGGGTGTGTTGACTCCCACTCGCCCAGGCCTCCGCCCCCCCCGCTGCTAGTGGTGGGGTCGTGCACGCCGTCGCGCATGCGCCTCAGCTCCTCCTCCTCCACACTGCCCGAGTGCTCCTCGCCCTGCACGCATCACGCACATGCAGCACGCACCACGCACCACGCACCGTGCACCATGCACCACACATCACACACCACACACCACACACCATGCAGCATGCGGCCAAGGGGAGGGAGGGGAGGAGAGAGGGAGGGAAGGAGAGAGTGAGGGAGGGAGAGGGAGAGAGTGAGGGAGGGAGAGGGAGAGAGTGAGGGAGGGAGGGAGGGAGGGAGGGAGGGAGGGAGGGCGGGAGGGAGGGAGGGAGGGAGGGACAGAGAGAGGGGTATAGGAGAGAGAGAAGGGAGGGAGGGAAGTGAGCATGTGAGGGATAACTCGACAGTCCCCACAGCTTTTTGCCTGCTAGAATGCACGTGGTTGCGACAGAATGAGAAAAACAGGGGTGGAAGGGTAGGGCAGGGGAGAGTGGCAATAGCAAGCGAAGAGGAGTCACCAGTCCAGGCCATGGCGACTGACACGGGGGGGCAAAGGGAGACGTGGGCAGAGAGAGGAAGCGCGGAAGAGCGGACGGAAGTGATGAGTAGAGAGGGGAGGGGGGGGAGGAGGGGGGAGGGAACCAGGGTGGGGGATAAGGTGTTGTAAAATATATATGTATACAACATGCATGCCTAGATTAGGAGGTGTAGTCATTATATTTATTGGGGGGTTGTTGGTTGGGTTGACTAACCCCACATTTGGGTTGGTCAAGATTGGATTTGGTCCTAGACATTTGGTTGGCACTATTCCAACCAAATGGTCCTTGGTCCCAAGACCCAACCAATCACCAAGCACCACACTTTGTGGTTGCTTGTCCTCCAATCTACCTCTCCCATTGGTCTACATTACGGCCAATGGGAGACCTTCCCCTCCATCTCTTCCTTGCTCCTTGTTTGTACAAAAGAGTCTCTTGGCTCCCTACTCAATCTATTTTTTTCTCCTCAAAGCTAGTTCCTTCATGGTAATCAGAGCCACAATGGCTCACACCGCCTATGATCGATCCTAACTAGCACGGCCCTATGCCGTCCCTCCTCGTCATCGAAGCCTACCCCTTCTTAGGCTACTTCGCGCGCCGCCGTGCGCCCTCTCCCGACGCGGTCTCTCTCCCATCGCGCACGCTCTCTCTCCCGTCGCGCGCCTCCTATCGCGCCCGCTCTCCCTTCCGTTGCGCACCTCCCCTCGCGTCTTTCGACGCCCTTTTCCTCCTCGCGCGGTTCGTCGCTGCGTCCTCCCGTCGTGCGCCCTCCGCCACCGCGCGCACCCGTTCGTCGCGCTTTCACACTACGCGCCTGTTCGTCGCGGCACCCGCGTGCACCTGCCGACGAATCCGCCCATCGCGAACGTGCTCGCCGCCGCAGCCGCCACCGATTCCGCCGTTACGTACGGCTGTCCGCCGCTGATTCCGCTGCCGCCGCGCGCGGCTGTCCGTCGCCGATTTCGCCGCCATCGCGTGCGGCTGTCCGTCGTCGCTTCCGCCGACCACGCGCGGCCGGCCTTCGGCGACTGAAGAGCTGCGCTCCGCACACCTACTCTTTTCCTCCCTCCTCCTTTCCTTTTTTCCTCCTCTTCCCCTTCCTTCCCCCCCCTCCTCCTCCATGGCGTCCGATTCCTCGGTGGACCTCACCTCCGTCGACTCTCTTGAACTGCTGCCCGACAACACCGCGGCCAATTGGTATTCCTATGGCCACACCGTCACGGTGCTTCTCTCCTCGACGACGGTCAACGGCCACAACCTTAAAGTCGTTGTCCACCTCGAGGAGCGCAGTCTTCAGCCTGCCCAACCGGATGCTCCCGCGGGCCCTGCACCTCTTCCTCCTGGCGATGCTCCCGTCAGCCCCGGCGATCCTCCAACTTTCGCCCCTGACGTCAACGACCCTCGAAGCTCCGAGACCGCCATCCGCACCTACCGTGCTGGCCTCACCGACCACGTCCGCCAGCAGCTGCTCTACGAGGCTTCCCGCGCCGAGCATGACGCCGCCACTGCCGCCTACACCACATACCAGGCGGCGCTCGCGGAGTACGCCAGGCGTGAGCGCTCCTACACCACCGACCTCGCCGCCTGGCGTGTCGCCGACCGCCGCGCGCTCACCATCCTCCTCGCCACCATTCCTCCCACCCTCAAGCGTGAGCTTGCTCCCACCTCCTCCTCCCACCTCTGGCGGCTCCTCACCGATCTCTATGATCGGCAGGACGTCGCCACCCTCTACTACCTCATCAAGGAGTTCCAGAGCCTCACCATGGACTCCACCACTGGCGCAGCGGCCTTCACTCGTTGCGTCCTCGACCTCGCTCGTCGTCTGGCGGCTCTTGGCGTCCCGTACCCGGACCCAGTGCTCTGCTGCCACCTTCTTGAAGGCTTGACTCCTGCCTTCGACACCCACAAGATCGCCTACATGCAGCTTATCGACAAGCACATCACCCCTGCTGAGGTCGCCCAGTGGATCATCACCACTAAGGCCGACCTCTTTCGCCATTCCTCCTCCACGGCCACGGTCGTTCAGCAGCGCAACAGCAGAGGAGGGCGTGGGGTTGGGCGTGGTGCTGGTTGTGGTGGTGGTGCGGGTCGTGGTGGCAGTGGTGCAGGACGTGGTGCAACAGCCGCCTTTCCTCCTTGTCAGTATCTCCCTCGCTATGGCCCCACGCGGGGTCAGCGCTGCGGCCAGACCACTCATGCCACTGATTCTTGCTTCAAAGCGCTCAGTGATGAGTGGTTTGCCCGCGGCAACACCGGCACCCCCCCCCCGCTGGTCCTCCCTCTCCCCTCGCCCCACTCCTCAAGAGGTTCGTACCTCCCCTCTCTTCCAACCCGTCTCCTCCCCCTTGGCTCACCAGGCCGTCTCTCAGCAACAACAGCACAGCAGACTCCACAGCAGATCCTGGCGCAACAGTTTCAGCAGCAGCAACAGCAGCAGCAGCAGCAGCAGCAGCAGCAGCAGCAGCAGCAGCAGGGGCAGCAACACCTCTTCTCCTAGCTGCAGCAGCAGCTTGACCTCCAGTCGCAGCTCCCCCTTGCACCTCCTCCTATGGCTCCCCCCCAGTAGCCCTACCCCGCTTGGACCGCCGGCACCGCCGCTTCCGCAGCTCACCTCTCGGGCGCGTCTCCCGCGCCCGCAGCCACAGGCAGTGTGACTCCTTTCCCCTCCTCTGGTTTTGTTGGCATGGTTAGTCAGGCTGGAACCCCTGCCCCTTCCATGTATTCGGCTGCTATTAATGAGAATGTGATTCAGTACTTTGTCCCACCTCCTCTCCCACATCCTCCCCCTTCCACCACGCTGGACTTTGTCCTTGACAGTGGAACCACCGAGTCAGTCATTCCTGATGCTGGTACCCTTCACCCTCTCGTAGCCCCCACCTCCCTCCTTGGTGCCGATTCCAACTTCTCTATTCCCTGTCGCCACACCTCTACCCTCCCCTGTCCCCTCTTCCCCTCAGGTACCGTCACTGGTTTACACATCCCCTCCCTCCGTACTAACCTCCTCTCCCAGCGATCCCTGCAGCAGGCCGGTATCACCACCGTCTTCCCAGGTCGCGCTAATCACTGCCTCCTATACCATCCCACAGGTCGCCTCCTCTCCCGTATTCCCTTTTGTCCTCGCTCCCGCCTATATACCCTTCGGGTTCCTCGTCTTCCCTCTGCCCAGGCAGTCTCCCGCTCCCTCCCCCCCCCTCACATCCCTCCCCCTCCTCTCCCTCCTTCTAGCCCAACCATTCCCCTCCTCCCCCCTGACCCAACTTGCTCCTGTCGATCCCTCTCCCATCCCACCGTCCTCCTCCACCACAGGCTTGGTCACCCCAACTTTGCCACCCTCCGCTCGACCGTCTCCTCAGGTCTCCTTCAAGGTCTTCCCCTCACCCTCCCTCCCCTCCCTCCCTCCTCCCCTGCCCCACCTGCCCGTTTGTGTCCAGAGCAAGCTCAAACAGCTGCCGCATCGGAGTTCCCCTCCGCTTCTGCTCAGCCGCTTGATCTTGTTCACCTGGAGCCCCAACCCCTCCCCTTCCCGCCAGGGCCATCGCTGCATGCTTGTTCTGGTCGATGATCACAGCCGATATTCCTCCGTTTCCCTTCTTCGCTCAAAGGGTGACGCTCCGGCTGCGATCATCGCCTGGCTCAAGCAGGCGAGCACCCACTTTGGCCGCCCTGTCCGCCGCCTTCGCTCTGATGGCGGTGGCGAATTCCTTAACCGCAGGTAGCCTCCTACTGTGAGCTTCATGGCATTCGCCAGACTCACACCCTTCCCCACTCCCCCAGCAGAATGGTGTGGCCGAGAGCCGTGTTCGGGAGATCACCAAGATTGCTCGGTGTCTCCTCGTCCGTGCCTCTTGCCCCCCTTCTCTATGGGGCTATGCCTCCTTCACACCACCCTCCTTAGTAACCTGTACCCCCACCCCATCCTTCCCTCCACCACTCCCACCGAGCTCTGGACGTCAACCAAGCCTGACGTCTCCTCCCTCCGTGTGCGGGCTCCAGGGCGTATGTCCTCATTCACCCTGCGGACCGTCCCGCACCATGGGAAAGCTCGCCTCCCGTACCCTCCCTGCATCTTCCTTGGTCATAACCCCTCCTCCCCGGACTACCTCTTCCTTCACCCCCCCTCAGGTCGTTTCCTCCGCAGTCGGGATGTGGTCTTTGATGAGTCCACACCCGACTATTCCACTCCTCCCCCCCTGACCCTCTCGCCCCTGCTCCAGGCCCTCACTGGTCCGACACTACCCCCCCCCCTCTTCTCCCTCCCCCTCCCATCCTCCCCCCGCTCCACCTCCTCCCTCCCCACCGCCTCGGTCCCTAGCGCTCCCCCTCCTCTGGTGACATCTTTGACCCTGACCCTCTTTTCCCCCCCGCCTCCCCGTCCCACTCCTCCTCCTCCGCTCCCTCCCATCCTCCCCCCTCCCTCCTCCTTCTCCCCTCCTCCCCCTCTCCCCGCGTCCCCCCCCTTTGCGTCCCACCCGCTCCATCCTCACCCCGGTATCCCCACACCAGGTCACGTGACGCAGTCCTAGGTGCCCGCCTCCTGTTACCCTCTCTTCCTCT